TGGGTCCGACTATGGAAGATGCTTGATATGTGCTGCAGTCCATGGCAGAAAGAACCAGGAAAGTAAAAAAGTCAAAGCAATATGTGCGGTAAAAAAAAGTGAAACTTTCAAAGTGCCTGTGTTTCCTTTCTATGCCCTATTATCATTCACTTACTTTCTTATAAAGACCAAAGATCACTCTGTATGCAAAATACCGCGAAAAAAACCAAACTACGAATCTGCCCTTGAACAAACGAATTTTTTTTAAAACTCATTAATTTTGCTAAAGTTTGCCTTACATGATATCAAGGATAGCACAAAACATCTACATTTCAGTTTTTTTTTCTTTTTTTTATAAAAAAACCGAGGATTTGCGAGAAACGAAAATACTGACATCAATTTTCACATCGGCACTGATATGCCTTTTCAGTTCTTCGTACCACTGATGACAAATCGTGGCTGGCGCAATAATCAGTGTCGTTTTAATCGGATAAATTTTGCCCTAAAAAATCCAAAATAGTTAATGCGGAAGTAAGAAAAATCCTTAAAAATTTGAAAAGAAAAAACGAAGAATATGAATTAAAAAATACGGATTTTAGCCAAAATAAAAATGGATTTTTTTCCGTAGCTGGTGCAATAATCATTGTTGTTTTAATCGGATAAAACATGCCCTAAAAATCCAAAGCAGATAATGCGAAAGTAGGGGGAATTCTCAAAAATTTGGGACGGAAAAACGGAGAATATGGATTTAAAAAAAAGTGGATTTATTTTGCTCTAAAAAATCCAAAGTAGTTAATGCGAAAAAAGTAGGGGAAATTCTCAAAAATCGGAATGGAAAAACTTAAAAATATGTATTTTGATTAAAAAAAATAGATTTTTCGATATGAACTTAAAAAAAATACGGATTTTGATTTAAAAAATTGATTTTTTAAGAAATATATTGAATTTTTCTTGTCTTACTACAGTAAATAATAATACATACGTATGTTTGAATGCATTCCGGGCATAGGAATAAGGCATCTTTCGATGGGAAGTGATTCCAGTAAACGCGCTCTTGTGAACAAACCACTGCACAGACGGGACAAGTAATTGGCAGTGTCTCAATAGTACTGGTACTTTTGCGTTTCTTTGCTGGAGTTGCTGGTTCCAGATCGTTGTAATAAAATTTGCGTTCGTTTTTCGATGCCACCTATAAATGCAACACTTTTTGGGGAGACTTGGTATTCTGGGCAAAAGGTATGAAATTTTTAGTGTCTGGAACAAATTATATATATATTTTCTACGTGTTCTTGAGAAGTAATGGATATAACGTTTTGATTCATATTGAACAGATGAATTTTTGTTGACATAATCATAGGCGGATCCAAGACGGACTCCTAGGCGGGGACGGG